ACTTTCTATATTTGTGGAAATAGCTTTAGGAGTATATTTAGAATTGTCCCTGACCTTGTTAACAATAGCTCGACCCATTTCATTCGATCGAAAAATAACTTTATAATCTGAAATGACTTGAGCAGTATGAATGTGAACATTAATAAACCGTATGATTCTCACTAGATTTTTACCAAAAAAAAAAAAACAAAAAAAAACAAATGATTCTCACTAGATTACTACTGCCTTCACAACCAGCTGACAATTTCCATGGACAACTCTTAACATCACACACAAATCTATAATATCTTCTGCTATTGTCCAAATATTTAAACAGAAAATGGTTACGAAGACCAAACAAAACGAGTGCATCTTTGAAATCATTTGGGCATTTAAAAAGCTGACCCTCAGAATTAATTCCATCAATGTGTCGGAAAGAATCCTGATGCGCATTTGTTGGAAGAAGTGAAGACGTTGAGGCATGACAACTTGGTGATAGATTACAGTCAGTGGCTTCAATAAATTCTACAATAGTTGAAAAAATATGTTAAAAATCGTATAACCTATGCAATGCATGTATTAATGTATTTCTTTACATATATACGTCTTACCTCTCACTATGATCACTTGGAATTGTGCATGATGCCATTATAGGAGTTGTTTCTTCCACATATACGTTTAACATGCTGCCACTCAGTAGAAGCATCACTCTAAATTCAGATTCTCCTGTCATCCTCACAAGTTCATTCTTGTTATATTCTATGGTATAATATATGACTTTACCACTCATGTTTGAAAAGGAACGTTCTTGTAACTCATTTATAAACGAGTCATACGTTGTTGTTGTAGTCATCATAAAAGGGTCCAAGACACTACAGATGTATATAATTCCCCATTACCATTTTTTTTCAATTTTTCCATCGAATCGACAAAAACATGCAACTTGTCTCTCATCCATTTCTTCAACTATTTTTGGATCAACTCATTAGTATTAAAAAAAAAAATAAGTTAAAAAAAAGGTTCTAGAGTGTAAAAATGACTACGAATTACATAAAGATATGGTTGATGCTTGTGTTCTAATGACAAAAAATTAATCAAATACCTCTTATGCACAAAGTCAAAAAAAAGATGTTGAATTTTACTTCCCCAACCCAAGTCTTCTTCCTTTCATCTGTTAAAAACTGTCAGAAATTTTTGTTTTGCAAGAGCATTTTTGTACATCAAAATAGATTAAAAAAAAAAAAAAAAAAAAAAACAGATTACAGAACTAAAAAAAAAAAAAAAATCAGAGCAGAATATATTGTAGATAACAAAATCAATGCAAACTTACCTCAAACAAATATTCAGATTGTAAAAGTTAATAAATTCAACATTTGCAGTAACAAACAAATGTCAACTCTTCTCTTTTCACTAGAATTGATGCATTTTTAGTGTGACTGACGACTGACAAAAAAGAGGGAATGCAAAAACAAAGATAGACAAAGACAATATTTTTAGTGTGACTGACAACTGACCAAAAAAAAAAAAAAACATGTTCAAACTTTGCCAATATGGAAAACAAAAAATAAAGAAAACACATAAGCCTCTTCACATAATTCCAATTTCAATTGTTGAGAGTTATTCAACTCACGAAAATTCCACTTCCCCAACCCAAGTCTTCTTCCTTTCATTGAAATTTTTGCTTTGCAAAAGCATTTTTGGACATCAAAATAGCTTAATACTACAAGAAATATGGGTTTTAGTAGCAGTCCTTTAGGGACAGTCTGAAAGACTGTCCCTAAAACCTATTTTTTGGCACAGTCTTTACAACTGTCCCTAAAACCTAACTTGCCCGTCCCTAAAACCTTATTTTTTGGCACAATATCACAAACTATCCCTAAAACCTTAACTAGGCTGTCCCTAAATATTTATTTTTTGGCACAGTCCAAAGACTGTCCCTAAAACCTGAATTTGCCCGTCCCCAATTCCACAAAAAAATTGTGCGGCATCATTTGGCGCTTCATTTTTTGTTTGGCGCTACAAATATATAATATATAAAATAATTTTATTTTACAAAATATTTAAGAAAGGCATAAACTACGTCGTTTAACCATATATCTCATTACATCCGCCTGGTCTTCACTTCTGCCAAACGCTCAAGCCCTCACGCCTCTTCCACCGTCTTCCATCCTCTTCCACCCTTTTCCATCGTTGCAGAAAACAGAGGCTCTTCCACCCTCTTCCACCGTCGCAGAAGACAGAGGTTCTTAATCAAACATTCTTTGGGCTTCAATCTTCACCGAATCATAAGATTCAATCTTCACCAAATCTGGAGTTGGCTTGTGGTCTAAGTCTGAATCGTTGTGGGAAATACGGGTTTGCAGAAGTGATTCTTTGGTGTTTCGAAGAGAATCTCGGGCTTGGAGGAGGCCAGCTATCAGAATCAGGAGGTAATCTAAACCCTTATATATTTTGTGATGTGTTCCTTATATATTTTGTTATGTGTTCCTTATATATTTCTTGAGATATAGTTGAAATAGGCTTTCTGTTTGTTCTTATGTTTGATTGTTACGCACTTTTTGAATGGTGCGATCTGGTTGATTTGGCTGCAAATTTTCATGATAATTTAGGTCTTTATTTAGATTCAGTTTTTTGCGAAGCTGATATATTTGTGTAAATTATACTGATCTGAGGTGGATCAGACACAGTCAACCACGTGAACTTCGAAACATGGGTTAATGAAATTTTGGTAGACTCAGTCGATTCAATTATTTGAAACATTAGCTAATGAAATTAGAATCGAATAGAAAATTTGTGTAGATTCAGTGGATTCAACTGCTAACTTTGTGCTTTTGCTTTACATTGAGATTGGGAAAGTAAAAACAGAGAAAGTGATTGAGCTAAAAATTTTTATTGCTCATGTCCCCACAGTTTGAAAATGAGAAATTGAAAGAAAGGAAAAACAAATGATATATTGATTGTCAAGTTTGTTTTCGTGGCTGGCAGAATTGGATTTTTATTTTGAAAATTTTGTTATATGGTTGATTGTTTAATTACAATTTGCAGAAAGATAATTTATTTTTTCGTTGCAATGATTAATAACATTATGTAGATTACCCGTCACAAAGGGTTTTATTTTGGAATTCAAAAGCCAATTTTATCTTTGGCTTAAATTAGTCATTCACATTTGGACCAAATTTGAAAATTGAATTTTTAAAAACTTAGGCCAACTTTGATCAACCCAAGAGCTTTTAAGTTTCAGATTTCTTGGTCATGTTTCACCAAATTTTAACTGAGCTATTAATTTTTTTTTTTTCTTTCTTTCTGATTTTATGGTTGGATTAATGGAGTTTAAATAGGATTTATCACTACACATTTTCAACAAACTCTGTTTCGACAACCATATTTTCTGATTTTGACGATGTGCCTAGTTCAAGAGATTGAGCAGGGAGATAGGAAGAAAAACATAGCTTAAACAGGGAGAGATAAAACTAAATTGGACTGGGCTAGCGTTTGCAGAAGAATAAGAAGTTGTTGCCCTTTATATTATTATTATTATTATTTGCTTCTGCTCTTCTCCTATTTACTCCAGATTTTGGTTAAAATAACAGCACTAGTCATTAAAATTGCTTCTCTTAGTTTTTGGCTGTTGGTGTTCTCCTATTTACTGGACAATTTTTTTCCATTGTTTGAATTGTAATCTTGCAATGTTGTAGAAGATTTTAAGTCATTTTGTAGTGCAGTGGTAGAAGTCTTTTTCGCCCCTTGTTTAACAAGTTTTGAATTAAACATATTAGACTGACTATAGTAAACCAAAACCGTATTTGTCTACAGTATACCAAAAACAAATTAGAAATTAATTATCTTAAGACTTACCCAAAGCCATGGTGAGAAAGCTATAAACAATTTGCTAACTACTGCCCCAAATTTGAATATTTGGAGCTGATGAATCCTTTCTCAAGCCTCCAAAAAAGATACAATATAAATAAGACTAAATATTTAATGGGGAATAAGTAGAATCAAAATTTACAAGTTTGGCATGCCGACGAGGAAGGGAAGGAAACATTTCTGTGATGGAGTTACTCGACCTTCTTTTCATCCCAAGCCTTCAAATGACCATTAATTTTTTAGAAATATTAGGAGAGGTTGCCAGAGAAGATGTCATTGAAACTGAAGAAGTAAAAACAAAACAAAAAATGACATGATTACTCTTTCCACTGTTATACAACCTAGAATAGAATTAATCATATATTCATATTGAATAAAGATTTAAATCTCCATTCCATCACTCATTTTATATCCATCTAATGTTATCCAACACCATCATTACATGAACTCAAATTAATAATGAAACAGTTAACCAAATAAAAATAAAAATACAGCAAAAAAATTCTTTAACAAATTTCAATTACCAAAAAAACCAATAGAATTACAGGGAAATTCTATTATGTGCGCTCCCATTCTGGAAACCCTTATCATCTACACAACTTGCAAGATCTACACCTCCATTTCTTTAACACCCTCATCTCTAATTAGAGTTAAGGGTTCCCCAATTTCATGAATATCCAGAAAGACATCTATGTCTATACAACCTGCATACACCTGAAACATCTAAAGTGCATCTGAATCTTCCTCTATCGATCATCCTCTTTTCACTGGGTCAGAAGATAGATCTAGGAAATTATACCTACCAGTGTCTATAATACTAATGCCATGTGACCATGGCAGTGAACCAACAGAGTATGAAGAAACTCCATTTCTTAATTACTATGTCTTTCAATTTTCTTTAATTGTACTTCACTCTTTTTTTTTTTTTTTTTTTGGGGTTCTTTTTTAAAGAAATGATAAGACGATTCTTACACTCATTCATTGTTCCTTCCATGATGGGCTCCACACACTTATATACATACATATATATATATATATATACATACATATATATATATATATCCTTTATTAACTCTTGATGGATATATGTTCTTTTTCTTTTCTTTTTTTTTTTTTTTTTTTTTTTTTTTTTTTGTGTACATTTAAGCAGTTACATGGATAAGTCTTGGATTCATAATCACACTAGGGGTAGTGTAAAGTATTTTGATGGCATACATGACTTCATTGATGTGGCTAGGCGTCATGCAGAAGTAGACGGTAGGTCCCGATGTCCATGTCGTCGTTGCAAAAATAGGACTTATCATCAAATTGAAGAAGTTAAGCAGCATCTCTTGAGAAATGGGATGGACAAGGGGTATACCAATTGGATATATCACGGGGAGGCTCGTCAAAGCAACAATAATGTTAGTATTAATGCTAATGTCAGTAGGGAAAATGTCCACGATGAAGATGGAAATGTAGATAATGTGTTTGAATTGTTGGATAACATACAAATGGGAAACTTCACTAATGCACCACAACAAGAAGATTTGCCTGAAGTTGATGTTGGAGGAGGAAGCTTTGACGGATTGTTAAATGATGCACAATGTGAATTGTGGCCAGGTTGTGAAAAATACTCTAAGTTGTCAGCGATATTAAAGTTGTTCCATGTGAAGGTTACAAGCCGAATGAGCAACAAATCATTTGACATGATGCTTGATGCATTTAAGGATATGCTTCCCGATAATAATGTGTTACCAAAGTCTCATTACGAGACTAAAAGCTTGTTACGAGACTTGGGTCTCGGATATGATTGTATACATGCATGTAAACATGATTGTGTTTTATTTTGGAGGGAAAACGCAAGTAAAGAAAATTGTCCACAATATGGTGAATCGAGGTATAAACCTCACGAAGGTAAGGGTAAGAAAATCCCTCAAAAGGTTCTCCGGCACTTCCCATTGAAATCAAGACTTCAACGGTTGTTTATGTCAAAGGATACAGCCTTAGATATGCGGTGGCATAAGGAGAAACGTGTGAAGGTGACAAATGAGTTAAGACATCTAGCTGATTCAAAAGCTTGGGAGGATTTTGATAGTAAGTATAGTTGGTTTGCTGCTGATCCTTGTAATGTTCGTATTGGATTAACAACTGATGGATTCAATCCATTTGGTAATATGAGCAATGCGTATAGTATGTGGCCTGTGATGATTGTGCCTTACAATTTGCCACCTTGGATATGTATAAAGGAGCCATATATATTTATGTCATTGCTTATTCCTGGTCCAACATCGCCTGGTAATGATATTGATGTGTACATGCAACCTTTGGTTGAAGAGTTAAAAGAATTGTGGCGGGATGGTGTAATGACGTATGACGCGTACAGTAAATGTAACTTTAAAATGCATGCGGCAATGATTTGGACCATTAGTGATTTTCCCGCCTATGTGATGGTATCTGGATGGATGACAAAGGGTTATCTAGCATGTCTGAATTGTAAGAAAGAAACATGTTCTTGTTTTTTGAAACACGGACGTAAGATATGCTACTTGGGAAGTCGTATGTTTTTATCGTTAGATCACATTTTCAGAAACCATCACAAGCAATTTAATGGCAAAAGTGAAGACAAAGGGCCACCAAAGCAGTTGACGGGTGATGATATTCTAGAACAACTTAACCTCATACCCGAGGTTAGTTTCGGAAAGGGGCCAAATAAAAAGAAGCGAACTCGTGAGGAATTTGAACTTAACTGGACGAAGAAGAGTATTTTCTTTAAACTACCTTACTAGAAGACCATTTTGTTGCGGCACAACCTGGATGTTATGCATATAGAGAAAAATATATGCGATAGTGTGTTGGGGACATTATTGGACATTGAAGGGAAAACTAAGGACACATTCAAAAGTCGGTTGGATTTAGAAGCAATGGGGATTAGAAAAGAACTCCACCTGAGACGTAATGGTGAAAAATTTGAGATGCCACAGTTTCCAGATGGCTATGCATCGAACATAAGTCGGTGTGTGAATGTTAATAATTGTAAGATATCTGGATTGAAAAGTCATGATTCACACGTTCTCTTACAACGTCTCCTCCCTATTGCTATACGAGGATTCTTAAATTTAGATATTTGTAACACAATAGCTGAGCTTGGTTTATTCTTTAAGGAATTGTGTTGTCGAACTGTCAAAGTGGATGTCTTAGAGGCAATGGAAAGGGACATTGCTGTTATACTAAGTAAGTTAGAGATGATATTTCCTCCGTCATTTTTTTAAATTATGGTGCACTTGGCTCTGCATTTGTCGCGTGAAGCCATCATCGCAGGCCCTGCACAATATCGATGGATGTACCCGATTGAAAGGTGCTGTATATTTTTAGTAAACCAATATTTTTTTTTAACAAGTTTTATTAGTTTGTTATTAAATATTATTGGTTTGATTAACGGTTATGTAGATTTTTGCATACTCTCAAATTGTACGTCCGTAACAAAGCACGTCCGGAAAGGTCCATTGCGGAAGCTTACGTGGACGATGAGTGCCTCACATTTTGTTCAAAATTTCTTGGAGGGATTGAGACAAGGTTCAATAGAGAAGAAAGAAATAGTGAGGGGAACTACAACAATAATTGGTCCACATTTTATGATCTAAAGCAAGTGGTTCGACCGATAGGAGCACAAAGTTTGGACATATTGCCCCGTGCGGACATAGAGATGGCCCGATTGTACGTTTTACAGAATTGTGAAGATGTTTTGTCATATGAAGAGTAAGTAACTCATTGCATGTCATATCTTGTCAGTTTCTATGAATATATAGTCTATTTCTTAATACATGTATACAATTGTATCATTAACATAATGTAATTGTTTAGAAAACACAAGGTAGAACTTGAGAGAGAAAATCCGCACAATGTTCCTCAAAGACATGCTAAAGAATATTCGAGGTGGTTCGAAACAAAAGTAAGTCCATTATGCACCTATTGTACTTAATTAAATAAAATTCTTTAATTTAATTAAAATGAACTGTCATTCATTTATTTAACACTACATTTCTTTTAATAGATAAAGGAAATGTGTCATCATCAAAAGGAAACAACTTGTGATGAATAGTATTCATTAGCGTGTGGACCTCAATGTCTAGTAAGTCGATATTCCGCGTGTATTGTAAATGGGATTAGGTTCCATACTAAGGAAAGGGAGCAAAATCGACGAACACAGAATAGTGGCGTGTTAGTGAAAGGAGAAGACCAAGATTAATATGGTGCCCTAACAGATATCATTGAGTTAAGATATCCTCTGGGTAGAAAAATTTTTCTTTTCAAATGTGATTAATGTCTGAAGATGATACTGATTTGGATGACATGTGAAGCTTTTTATTCTTGAGCATGTACCTCATTTTATTGTTTTATGATTAATACTTTAAGTGACAGGCTGAATGATATTACCGAGCTTTATCTTTTGAGTTACTTTTTGTTTAAATTTCTCTTTAAGTATTGGTTTTGTGCTTCATTAATTTGCAGCTTTGATTTGGTTGACTAAATTAATTGTTATATTTGAGCATTTACTCTTTTTTTTGGGTTTATGATTATATTTAATGTGATCTATTCAGTTATATTGCCTCTAATTATTGAAATATTTATTCAATGGAATTATGTAAATATGAAATGATGACTCAGAATATATTTTGCATATGCTTGTTTATTTTGATTTAATTTCACTTGATTCTTCATATCAGCTTGTAAACTAAATTATGGACACCTCTGAGGAACCGATGCGTAGAGTTTTAAGGTCCCGCAGGGCTGAAACTGAGGGACCATCTACAAGTTCACCTCCTACACAACCAAGTGGATTAGGTGAAGATAAGAATTCAACAAATGAAAGAATGGAAGGTGATGGTAGTAATGAGCAGATAGGGCCACAACCAAGTGGAGGTAATTATGCTTCATCATTGATTAACCAAAAGTTCTTTTGTAAAATACCTACGCTTTAATTAAGATGATAAATTTGTTTTTCAGGTCCGATACGAAAAGGGCGTGGAAAAGCAAAAAATGAAGCCTTGCACAAAATTAATGAAAACAATTGGCCAGTTCCAGTTGAGTTTGGAGAGGGTTATATTAAACCTGTTGGTTTAAATAACAAATTATGGACGGCTGAGGTTGGCAATAATACACGAGATATCGAAGCCCTTCTAAAGTATAAAACGTGGAGGGATGTTCCAGATTTTGAGAAAGAGGTCTGCTATGACCATTTGAAGGTAATGATATCCATCATTTAATGCTTGTTTTGTTAAAAAAAAATCAGAGATTACTGGTCCAATTGGTTACAAATTATAGCTTACTTTAATTTTACATTATAAAGGAGGTCTTTGGAGTGGATGCATACGCAAATGACATTGATTTTAAGCGTGTAAATATGGGAATTTCCAGCGCGTTGAGGAAATATAGATATAAATTGAAGTGTCATTTTGAAGAGCATCTTCCGATTGAGAATGCACGCCGCCATCCTTATAATGGTATTGGTAATGTTGTTTGGGAAAAATTGTGTGATACGTGGATGTCACCTAAATTTCAGGTTCAATTTCTTAACTACTTGTTTTTACTATTTAATATAATAACTTCATTCACTAGTTATTTAGGTTTCCTAACTTGTAATATTGTTTGAATTACTACTTAGGAAATAAGTGCAAAAAACAAAGAAAATCGTTCCAAGAATGAGGTTCCACATTATTCTGGATCAATGTCCTTCGTCAGACGTTACGATGATTATGTGCGTAATATACGAAACAATAATTATAAATTTTTTATTTTATATTCTACGTTCTAAACCATATATTTGTCTAATAGTCACTATTACTTTGTACTATAGGTCAAACTCAAAGAAAGGCAGAGCCAAGAAGATGAGGACGGTGAAAGGGAAGAGGATCCTGCTATTCGTTTGTACAAGGACACACATTTTAAGGAACAAGGTGGATGGGCACATGAGAAAGCTAAGAGGAATTTTGTAAGTTAACTATAAGCTAGCATGTTAGATTATGAAATTTGGATCTCATAATATTGTCCACATCGATTGATTGTGTTGGATTTGTAATTTATCTGTTTTGCATAGTTCAAATATGTGTCTTATATCTAGAGTAGAAATCTGGAGATTTAATAACAACTCATGCCAAATAAATGTTCTATCCCCTTACATTCCATAACTCCAAGATACTTCAAGTCTAGAAACCCCTCACCATCTCTGTCTTGACTCACATTCTTTAAAATTTCCACTTCTACTAAATATATACATGAGATCTTTGGATGTATCATGAAAATTAATGAATCAGTCCATTAATTGGGGTTTCTTGAATTAAAACTTGTTTAGAGTAAAGATTAATTTTAATTAGGGTTTCGTCAATCTTGGTTGTGACATTTTGTCCTTATTACACCACACAGTCAACCACTATATCTTAGTACTATGTGAAGAAAATACATTGGCCTTATCCATTTTACTCATGAAATGATCAAAACACTCTTTTTTTTTTTATCTCAAAAAGCTAGTAAAGTAAATGAAAGCAAAAGAGTGTACCCATAAAGGCCGCCACCATCACTGCTAATCCCAAGTATACAAAGTATAAACTGCACTGTTCAACAAAAACAAAACACATATGAAAAAGAGAAAGAGAAAGAGAAAGAGACCGTACATACATGAAATGTGAAGGAAATAAAATGAAAATGAAAATGAAAAGAAAAGGCACGAGAGATCGCAATGAATGCTAACCTTTTCAACCTCATCCATGAAATTAACTGCGGGATTTGGCTGAGTTTTAGCATAACCCAGGCTATTGAAAAGGCGACTAACGTAGAGCAGTAAACAGTTTGTTGACATGCCATCGCCAATGGCTCCGAGAGTGCCGAAAAACATAAGCAAAATGTCCACCCAATCTGTATACCTGAAAATTATACCTATAGCGTTCGTCTTCTCCCTTCTCATCTCTCCTTTCTCCGAACCGTTCTCGTCTGAAGAATTCATTTTCTTCATATATCAATGTATCTAGAGAACTGATTAGTCTGCTACCCAGCAGGAGAGAGAAGAGAGAGAATGGAATAGCTTGTAAATGGAAGCCTCACTTTGCTCTAACAAGTAGTGACCCATTTATATATAAATATGAATATATTTGTCTGTCTGTCTGTTTGTGTGTGGGGGTGTGGAGAAAGTGAGGTGATTTTCCATGAAGCAGCCCTTTTATGCATAAGGTTTATGTGTGGTTGTTACATATATATATATATATATATATACACACTTTTATAATAATAATAAAAAAATCCTCAGAATTAATAGTGAGAAAAAGAGGAAGGTTATCACTCGTATAAAGCATATTCCTCTATTTAGATGGGGTCAGCTGCAAATCCTATTGTCATCCCACTATATCCTAAGCTGTATTTGTTCCCTCTCTCTCTTTCACACACACACAACTTCAGTAGAAGCTGTCCTAGATACTCTTGGAGCGTCATGTTATATTTTATTTGATGCATGATTGAATTAAATAGACAAGAAATCAAAATCTGATTTATTGTTGTAAGTTTAATAGCTTAGTTTTGGGATAGTAGAGAATCAATATTTACCTACTTTCTAGTTTCTACACATTTGAGCTGTGTCATTGATTTTTTCTAATACGTCCTAACTCAGAGTTTGTCTCTCCTAGTCATCCAGTATCCCCCTAAACTCCTCACATATTGTACTCCCTTTTTTCTTTTCTTTTATCTTTTTTTGACATGCTTTCCAGTTTTCAAGTGCCCAACTCAGGTTCAAAATTCATAGTTTACATTCTTTTTGTCTCGTGAAACTTTCCTAACCTAAATGTAATTGATAATCATGTATAATAGTAGTAAATTCCATTTTAAACATCCAACTCTCTAATTTTATGAATCACATAATTTTTGGCCTCTCCATGCATTTATTTGAGTGAATTTTCATATGTTAGTCTATCTGATAGGAGTGTGTGTTTCTTGTGGTCACCCTTCTCATCACGTTTGAGAAAGTGCCTTAGAGTTGCAAGTTACAGAAAGTGCCTTGCGTTTTGGTTCCATTCTAATCTATTAAACTACCAGAACCTTAATGATTTGATCAGCCATTTTGCAGTGATGGATACTTTTTGTGTGTTAAACTCGTATCAGACCACATTATAATGATAATGGAGAGTTTTTGTGAAAAAATTAGCTCTGTCAAACCCATGGTTTGTTTGCTAATATTTTTCTGGTGCACCAACTACCCACAAAGTTTCTAACAATAATTTAGACAGTA